CCTGGGCAGCCGCCAGAGCGCGCCTCTGGGGCGCCTCCGCGCGGACCCGGTGCGGGCTCCGCTCCCGCCCTCCCTGCCGGTTTGCAGCCCGCGCGCCCGCAGTCACTCAGGCCGCGGGGGAATCCCTCCACCTCCCCGCCCCGCGCCCCGGGAGGGGAGGGGACAGCGCGGCGCTTGCGGACCCGCTTTCTCCGAGGGAGCGCCTAGAGGCTAGCGCTCACTGAGCCGCCGGGACTTCGGCGCTGCGCTGCGCTCCTGGCGGCGCCCAGTGCCGTCGGGTCAGGCTGAGCTGCGCAGCCCGCAGCGTGCGCGAGACGGGCTCCCAGCGGTGGGGGCGCTCACCGACTGCGCGTCCTTATGTTCCCGGCTCAGGACGCTCTGCCCCGCGGCGGGCCCAGCCTGAAGGAAGAGCCGCTGCTGCCAGCTGGCCTCGGCTCGGTGCGCTCCTGGATGCAGGGCGCGGGCATCCTGGACGCCAGTACCGCGGCGCAGAGGTGAGCAGGCGGACGGGACCTGGCGCGCGGGTTGGACGGCTCCGCACTGCCTTAGTTCGGCTTGCTCAGCTGCTGGGGCGCGGGTGGGGGGAGCCCTAACTCTGGACAGTCCCGACAAGCTCTCCTGCCTACCCTGTCCCGAACGCTTACTCTTCCTTTTGAGGATGCGGGGCGGGCGGGGGCGGGGCTTCTGCCTCCACTCGGGGCTGTCCGGGCTCTGACTTCTGACTGTTGCCGTCCACCGCTCAGGAGAAGGAGGTATCTCCGCTGCCCGCAGTCCCTAGGCCTTGACCCACATATACCAGCGGTGGAAGGAACTGCCACCCCCCTTTTTGGGCAGTGCCCCTGTCTTCTCTGGTCCAATTCCGCGGCTCCTCTCTCTTTTCCCACGCCCCTCAGAGTTGGAGGGTGGGGGTACACGGAGCCAGAGAAGCCGCTGGGTGCTGAAGAGTGGGGAAGGAATGAGGTGAGCAGTCGGCTTTGCTGAAGTGATTGGGGTTGGGAATGGGGCACGGCTGCTTAGGTCCTGTCTCTGCTCAAAATGTGTTTCTGGTGGGTCCTGCTGGAGTCAGGGGGTCACTGAGAACCCAGCATCCACACCTATCTCCTCTGACTCCTTTTCGGGAGTCTGGGCAGGTAGCCTCTGGGGGAATCTGGAAGGGAACTTTAAAAGCTTGTTGAACCGTGCTCCCACAGCACCCGGACTCTGGGCTTTTTGTACTCCCAGCTGTGATCCTGGGTGGGGGGATGTTGAGATAGCCCATGGGGAGTTCATAGTGGTTAGGACTAGGGAGTGCTAACTCTGGAGGCTGCTGAGGCAGGGTGGGAACTGGGCTTCCCAGAAGGTCTGAGCAGCTGTTTGTCCAGCAGCCAAAACAGCTTCTGATAAGGAGTTGCCAGGGCAGACTAGAGGGGCGTGTGGGCCACACACTCACGTCCCCAGTCCTGCCCGGGGGGACACCACTCATAGTCCAGCCATCACCTCACCCTGTACCCCTGCACCGACACACCCCTTGTTTCATGCTCATGAAACCGTGTTCCTGCATACATATTCTTTCATGGCTGAGCCTCAGGGGGTGCCCCAGAGACTCAGTGTGGAGCTCATCTCTTCAGGACTAGGAAGGATCTTGCAAACAATTGGATTTCCATAAGTTTTACAAGTGATATAACTATATTCCAGAAAAACTGGAAAATAGAAAACAAAATCTCACCTCTCTAACACGACTACCATTATTTGTACGTAAATAACGTTCACCTTCTGTTTGTCAACTGCTCCCTCCCCTCTAGAAGTATTTTCATAAGCACTATGCTAATTTTTTTACAGCAACATGTAAAAAAAAAGTATTGGCATAGCGGCACTTATGAATACCTTGCGGGGAGAGGGAGCTGTAGTCAAACCTAGACGGAGGCATTATTTGTGTTTAAAAACAGGACTGTCAACATTTTAGTGTATTTCCTTCCCATCTTTCTTCCCATTAACATGTTTTTCCTGTGCTATGCATACAGTTCTTTTTTCTGTTGGTTTTTTTTTTTTTTTATTTAACTTGAGATGGTTATTTTCTTAACATGGCCCCATCTTCACCCCCACCACTGATTGTGTGGTAAGAGCTCCTGGTAAGAGTGGGTTGGGAGGTCCACTGGGGCTTCTGGGATTTAAGGTTCGTATTCCTCTCTGACCTAACCCTCTGTTCCCACCCTGAGCCAGCAGGTTTGATGAGGGAGAATGGGAGAAGGTACAAAGGAGGCAGTGCCCTGATAGCCTGTGTGGGGTGCAGGAAATATAGGGGTGATGTTCACCCCAGAAACTCAGGCTGCTGGCAGTACTGGGATTGGGTTTCCATCTCTGGGACTCAGAGGGCTTCCATAGTTTAAATAGGGACATTTCTTCAGGCCTGAACTGCTCATCCCCAAATCTGGAAACTTCTCTGTCTCAGGACACAGATGGGGGGCCCCACATGTTTGATTGACTCTAGAGCCCCCTCCTTCCACAGGAGAACAATCTAATCCTTTCTTCTCGTTCTTCTTGATGTTACCTGTTCTCTCTCCCATTTGTATCGTAATCCCCAGTCAGTTCTCTGCTCAGGTCTTTGCACCCTAAAACAACAATAACAAAAATCCCTTTCTCTGTCCCCACCTCCCTCTTCAATCTCTCCCTCTCATCTTTGAGAAACTTTCACAGTACCCCTCCACCACCACCACCAGTGCTGCTTGGGATCTGAGAGTCGTCTGGGATGCTTTCCTTGCCGTCACCCTACAGCCACCTGGTTGTCAAGGCTTATGGATTTTCCCTCTGTGTCCTACTCCCAGTCTCAATGCCCACAGCCACTACTTTTATCATTGAAACATCCTGGCCCTCCACCACCTTCCTCCTTGGCTTGAAGCGTAACTGCCCTGGCTTACCACCTAAGCTTCCTAGCCTATTGCCCCAGCCTCAGCTTCTCACCCCTCCCCCAAATCCATCTTCCATGCAGTATTTCCAGAGAACCTCTCTGATCATTTCTCTTCCCTGATTAAAAACTTCAGTGACTCCCCACTTCCTCCCGCATATTCAGCATTCAAACCCATCACAATCTGACCCCAACTTTCTCTCCCAGCCTCTGTGTGATACTTGGAATCCAAGAATGTTGGAGAACTAGCTGTTGCACTAGTAAGTCCTATCTTCTCGTGAACAGTCCCCCTGCCACCAGCACCCACACACCCACTGAATAGTCTTACCAGACTTCAGGACCCATCCCCCCAGTACCTTCTCTGTGGTTCTCAGTAAGTAAAGGTTCTTAGTACTAAGGTACTTGGTACTTAGTAGTAAAGGTTCTTAGTACTAAGGTACTTAGTAGTAAAAGTTCTTAGTACTGTCTAAGGATGCATCCTACAGGCCAGCATCTCCTAGCCTGCCTGTCCTGGTTTTCTTGCCCTGCCGGCCTGGGCCTTCCTCCAGGGCAAGGGTGGTGGCTTATTCATCCTTGTGTTCCCAGCACCTAGGACAGGCTTGAGCAGTCAGTAGGGGGTCCGTGAATATCTGCCAAAGAAAGCAGGAGTGCGTCCTAGAAGACTTCTGAAATCCCTTTCTGTTGGGCTCCCTTTCCACCTTGGTGATTTCCAGGTTCTGCCTGACACCCCAGGAACCAGGCACTGGAGCAGCTACTGTTTCCCAGTTTTAAAATGCCAAGGTTTTACAGGGGGTGGGTGGGGAGAAGGCCCAGAGCCTGAGATCAGTGAGGGAGGCTCTGCCAGTAGGAAGGAAAGTTCTGAGTAGAGGAGGGGCAGGGAGAGAAAGGGGCTGCATACTCTTAAAATGAAGGCAACAGAAAGCTGATGTTGGGGGCCAGCAGGCTCTCCCTAGTACAGAGCCAGGGACAAGGAGCCCTGCAAAAGGACCCCTGGCCATTGCTGTGACTGCCCTGTGCTAAGCCACCAGGACTTTATCTCTGTGACTCATATACCCAGTCCCGGCCCACCTTCTCCAGGTTTCCCTGCAGAACCAAGTCTTCCTGCTGGGGGCTCAGCACAGAAGTAGTTCTCTTCTCCTTCCCAAGTGCTTCTTAGCCTGGGAAGGCCCCTGATGGGCCCAGGCCAGCCCTCCCCCATGAAGAGACCCCTGGAAGACCCAGGCCAGTCCTCCCCCTGAGCTGGCCCCAGCACAGGAGCAGGGCCCCTGAGAGGGAAGCCAGCTGGGGCTGCTTTCCTGTAAGCAGCTGCAGGCTAGCCTCCCTGCTAGGAAATGCTTTTGTTTGCTTTAATAATTAATAGCTGCTCCTCAGCCTGGGCCTGGCAGGCAGGCCTGTGGGTGGGTGGCGGGAGGGTGGGCAGAGGGAAGTAGGATGGCAGTCTTTAGGTGGGATGGAGGGCAATTGTGAGGCCAAGAGGAAGAGTGGGAGAGCAGGCTGGTGAGACCCTCTCCCTCGCCCCCTCACCTCCTCCAGGGACCTTGGTCACTGAGACAGTTTCCTGGGGCAGGTGAGCAGAGGCGGTTCCTTGGGCGGTGGGAAGCCTCCTCAAGCCTTGAAGCCTCGTCTCCAGCAGGACCCTTTGGACCTGGGATCTGGACAGCTGCCCCAGCACCAGGCCCTCCCTCTGCCTGCATTGCTGAGATGGGTGTGCCCCAGTTAAAGGCTGCTTTTGTCTTCCCTGGTCTGCAGCTCAGGCTCTAGCTAGTCATGTCAGGGGCTGGGCAGGGCTAGGCCAAGGGGTCTTGGCTGGAGGGCAGGAACTGCCAGTTCTAGCTTGATTATGGACAGTCCTAGGAGCCCAGGAGATGCCTGCAGGGGAGAGCAGGGGCTGGTGGTGAGCTTGGAGGAAGGGAGATGTAGAAGAAAGGAAGGGAAGGAGCACCAAGAAGTGGGTAGACATAGAAGTCATGCCAGGATGGGGAAAAGAAGAGCTGCATTAGCAGAGAGAAACTTTAGGGAAATTAGAGGCAAGGGGTGAGAGGCAAGAGACATACGCTCTTTGCTCCTTCCACCTCCTGGTGGCAGTGGGGTCGGGTGGGAGGGGGCATCAACATTGCCAATGACCTCAGGGCTCGTCCCCATCTCCCCAGCATCTCAGACCCTAGACTGATCAGGTCCAAGCTAAGAACCTTGAGCTGTCAAGGCTGGCAAGAGTTAGGATCTGAGGGAGGGAGGAAGGCGGGAGGTCTGGCGGTACCTCTGGGTGGACCCCAAGGTTCCAGCCTTGCCCACTGTCCTCTGCGGGAGTTGGGATTGTTGTTGGTAAGTTGATCTTTTTTATAATAAGCATGTAGTCAAGGAAAAAGCTCCTGGTTGGCACACATGGTTAAGCACTTGACTACTAACCGAAAGGTTGGCATTTCAAATCCACCCAGAGGCACCCAGAAGAAAGGCCTAGCAATCTTTCTGAAAGGTTACAGCCTTGAAATCCCTGTGGAGCTCAGTTCTACTCTGACACACATGGGGTTGCCATGAGTTGGAGTCAACTCAATGGCAACTGGTTTGGTTTGGTAGTCAAGGACGTAAAGAACGCAAGCGGTCTTCTGAGGAGAG